TACAACACTAAGCTTATACAACAAAGAAAATCAAATCATACATACCAACTTACACAGCACACGGAACATTTCAAAGATATCGATTTGGTTGCGAAGGCCTTGGTTACGTCCGAGAGTTGGGGGAGGCGGCTGGTCGGTTGATCAGGCCGGCAGCGCTTTGGAATATACGGGAAGGCACATGCACGGTGGTACGTGTGTTGCGAAGACCTCCTCGAGTGAGCTGTGCGATGGGTATTTATCCCCAAATCTGCACATCGCTTTCCCACGCTTGCATATTAACATATATGGCCCAATGGTCACCACGTGGGGGTCTGTGTCCCAGGGGTTGGGCCGAAACTGTGCAGATTTCATGCGACCAGGTAAGCCCTGCAGTTCTCATACCAAGGTGACGGGTGGGAGAGTCTGAGGCTATTTTACCCTCTTCGCACCTTCCCTTTTTCTAAAGGCAATGGTATGCAGGAAGGGTGCGGCCGGTTTCTCCCAAGGAGTACTGCAGCCCACTATAGCAAAAGCAGCCTGGCCAAACTTTTTTACTGGGGGGGCAGTTTTTTCTCTAACACCGATCAGGACAGGAAGACCAGGGTAGCAGCTCCCTCAAGACACAAGAGCATTCTGCAGCTCTTTCCGAGTAAGTTAGGGCTTTGGGATGGTGTGTATAGCTAAATAATTTCTTACGTAAGCTAAAAAGAGAGAGTTCCTTAAAAAGAGCAATAAAACATTTCTATGCAGTTTTTTCTCTAATGCTTCTCACCCCTGAGTGGAAAGAATTTTGTTATATGCACCAGTGTGGAGGTGGTGTGTGACATATCGTCATATTGGTACACATAAGAAAATACATGTGGTGGGAAAGAGGCCAAGGGATTCTGAATGAGGGAGGAGGTTCAGGGCTGGGGCATAAGATTGGGATACAGGAGTATGAGGGCTCTAGCTGGGGATACGGTTTCTAGGGTGGGGCTGGTGTTGAGGGGTTCAGAGCTGGGACAGGGTTGGGGTGTAAGGGCTCTGGCTGGTGGTGCAGTCTCTGAGGTGGACCTAAAGATAAGGAGTTTGGGTGCAGGAGGCGACTTCCAAGCTTGGGGAGGGACTGGAAGTTGGGGTGCAGGAGGGGATACAGGCTCTGGGCCAGAAGTGCAGGTGTGGGCTTTGAGGCACAGGAGAGTGTTCAGCGTTGGGTAGGGCTCAAGATGGGGCAGAGGTTGGGGCTTGGCCATGCGTGGGTGGCTCCCTGTTGGGGACAGCAAGGAGGTGCTCCCCCTGCCAGCTGGAAGGAGCCCCTCCCGACTCATCCCAGCAGTTTCAGGGCTTGGGGAGAGTGATCTCTCCCTGCTGCAGCCTTGAGCCTTTGCGCAGGATGTAGGCTATGTCTAGACTGCAACGCTTATCCGGGATACTGGAGGTATCCTGGAAAAGCACTGCTGCATCCAAGGAATGTGTCCGCTTTGCTGAAAATTTTTTTGGAAAAGTGGATGTGTTTTTTCACCATCGCTATAAACCTCGTTTTACGAGGAAGAAGGGATGTCTTGAAAGAGCAGGTTTGTCCGAAATTTGGCACCGTGTAGATGGGCCAAATTTCGGAAAAGCCTCTTCTGAAAGAAAAGTGGAAAAAGATATGCAAGTTGCGGTTCGCAATTTGTGTATCTTTTTCCGACTTTTCTTTGTAGTGTAGATGTAGCCTCAGTGGGAAGAAGTGCAGCCATGCAGCTTTGTGGGAACTTGGCTCCTATGCCCCCATCAGTCTGACACTGCAGCTGCTTCTTGTTTATTTCACTCATGTGTATGTTAGAGATATGAACGAGTAACCAGGGGGAGGGAGGAGGGACCCTGATTAATCGGTTAACTGGTTAAACCTAAGGTTTAACCAGTTAACTGATTAACCTGGATTTTACATCCCTAATTTATATAGATCATGTAGAGCATCGTGAAAGAAAAACATTTTCTTTAGGGATGAGGATTTCATGTTTTTATTTAGGTAAGCAATCTCCCTAAGTTCAGTAGTCTGAATGTTATTTTGTCCACTGTCACAGTTGCCAGTGGATCAGGTGTTTCAGCAATTACTTTTTATGTCATTGCAGTGTTCCTGGAAATGTGTGATGCCGAGTTCAGTTTGGCTAATAGAGTCAGTACCTAAAATGTGACTTATGTATGCATAGCCATCTGTGTAGCAGGATCTCTGGGGTTTGGCTGTGCTTGCCTTGATAGTTGTGAGTGAAGACGAAAATGGAGGGAAGGTCACACCCTAGTCCTAGTGCTTTTTTCCAAGCTTATCTATGGCCATCTCGTGCCACACTGACTCTGTTCTGTGTCTTATGTAGTGAGGCTGAAAGACTTATTGGCAAGGTGGGGGTGGGAACCCTAACTCTCTGGGGCCTCAGGCAGAAGGGCTAAGGATAGCTTCTCCCAGACAGCCTCAGCACCACCCAGCGTGCGCTGCGGGGCTCTGGTGGTGATTAATGGGCTCAGGGCTCCAGTTGCCACTGCTATCAGAATGTGAGGGCTTTGTCTGCAGGTATGGATTTTAGGCTGCAAAGACTCTTGATTAGGGCTGGGGATTAGGGGCTCGGGGTGCAGTTGGTGGCTCCAAATTTGGGGAGGGGCGCTGAGATGTATATTGGTGTTCTGGAATGGACACAGGCTCTGGGCCTGGGGATGAGGCCTTTGGGGTGCAAGATGGTGCTCAGGGTTGGGGAGTGGGTTCAGAGTGGGACAGAAGGTTGAGGCTTGGGTGAGGTGGGGCCCCCATCCTCTGGCTGTGGCAGCTTAGTGCTGGAGTCGGCAGGGAGAGGTACCTCTCACCATCCCTGGCAGCCTCAGGGTTTGGGGGGGGAGAGATTTGTTCTTGCTCCAGCCCTGAGTCCCTGCATGGGGCTTAATGGGAAGCCACGTAGCTTAGAGGGCCCTTAGTCATTGAGAGTATTTACTTCTCCAGAAATGAGCGATTGCCGCACAGTCTAGGTGGCTGAAAAATTCACATGAAAGGCAACAGTGTCATTTGGAGTGGGAGATGTCAGTCATGTATCCTCACTTCTTTTTAATTGGCGTTATAATACTGTCCTTTAATATCATGTAAAGGAAGCCTAGGATACATACCGTGAAAGTGAATGCATACATGTGTGCAGTGGGGAGGCTGTGCTTTTGTTAATCACTGTCCTTTGTGCCGTGGTCATGCTGAGGGGTAGGTGCTAAGTGCTTAATACACCAACGTGTGTGTATATGGCTGACAATCACTCCCTTCAACTGGACTGTAATTTTGTGATTATAAACAGATTACAGGGAAAAATGCTCTGAAGTATTTCAAACATGCGTTACCATTCTGAAGTGCTAAAATAGAGTTCCAACAGCAGCGTGCTTATTTGACATAACTTCAGTTGTCGCATTGCTTGAAAACTTTTGGATACTAACGATGATAAAGCTGGTTTTGTCATTGTCTGCAGCAGCCAAACTGTAATTCCATAAACTGCAGCTGGATCACAAACTTTGAGCTTTATTTTCAATTCTCTTGCACCTCCTTTCATGTCTTCTTCCCTGTCCATCATCTTCTTACCCGTTTCCCAGTGCCGACCCCTCTTGTGGTAGAGGGGCTTCAAAAGGGAACCTGCTTCCTCTGACATGAGCTGTTTGTTCTTTGTAGCTGTAATATTACAAAACATGGAAGCAGAGTTGAGCCCTTGATAACTGCCATTGCATTCAACCTTGCTACCAGTTGATGAGGAAGTAAGATGGGACTGAAGAAAGGGGAAGGAGAGGATTATGGCAATTAAAACCCCAGTATGTTGTGTGCAAACCAAATATCTCAGAATTCAGAGAGCCACTAATAAAATAACATATGGTATTTTAAATCCACATTATGCCTCAGTTTCTGGCTACTGCAGCATTTAAGCTTATATTAATAACTGCAGTGCCATATTTTTGGAGAGAAGTATTGATAAAGTAGAACCTGATTAAGCTATTAATTTTTGTTTTGAGGGCTTTTTCCTTGAATACATTTCACCTTAAGATGATAGGATTACAAAGGTTTTTTGCCTGGAATATAGACTATAAGCATTTTGGGGTCTATTAGGATGACTATTGCTATAGGAATTGAAGTGGTTGTTGGCAGATAATGTATATAGTTCGAATCTCTGATCAACTCTTGAGGGTGGAAGGCAGCGAGTGAAAGTTTATATGAGTATTGGCCAGCTCTGAAAGCCTTGTCTACACTAGTATTTCCAGGGGGAAATTCCCATTGCTAGTGCTAATAGTTGGATTGATAGTATAAACTGGCCCCTGATGGTTTTCTAATTACATCTCTTAGATGACATTCTGGTGATGATGCGTGAGCCCTGTCTAAATCTCTTTCCGTCACTGTGTTCGCATCAGTGGGAGACCTAGTGGAAAATGCTAGTGTAAATGCAGTTTGAGGGGTAGTTTGACCAGTGGCTCTTTTATAAACATCCCAGGCTCATTTCAACAGACAGATTCACTGGTTTCCTTCAGTAGAAGCTAAAATGGTTCCAAGCTGCTGCATTTATTGTTTCTGATGGCAACTGCTCCTACTAATTATAGGCTTTATAAGTCAGTAGAGACTTCCTGATAATTTTTAGGAAAACTGTTATGTCTGCAACTGCAGAATAAACAACTTTTCTAAAACACCAACAAGTAAATTATATAAATTGTGGTTGCCATTAAACTAGAAATGAAAGGAGAACCATGATCCTAAAGTTATAAATTTGCCACCAAATTTAAGTTTTTTATTGCTTTTTTTACCGTGTCTATGTGATTTCAGAAGGCTCATGGAGGGAGTAATTTTAGCTCAAGAAATTAGTCTGGATTTTCAAAATCCAGGTGGTTTGCAGAGGTAATAATTATCAAATTTCTGTTTGTAAACTCAATACATTTAATCTAGAGACTGAAAGACAATAAACCATGCCATTTTTACATGACAAATCATGTAGGTCCTACAACAGGTAAAAATATTTGTGGGCAGAGTAATTTCTCACCTTCTGTCATTGTATTGCTGACAGGAAGAGATTGTTTATCTTGAAGGACATGACACTGAGATGGATGAACATATTAATTGGTTTAAGCAAGAATATATGAAAACAGAGAGGAACTGGGAAGAAATTGATAAAAGAATGAACAAGACATTAGAAATGCGAAGAAAGATGATCAGTAACAAGACACCTTTAAAAGAGATTCTCCGAGTGTTTCCCTTCTTAAGATGTCCTTATGAGGTAATACTGTGTGTGTCTTTAATAACAGTATTGCACGTTATGATCTAGATACGGGCAAGATGGCACATTTGGGACTGCTTAGTACATGTGTTTAGTAAAGCATCCGTTAATACTCAGTTTTGCCACTAACCTACTAGTAAATGCATATTCCTGCCTTGGCACCACTTCAAAATATTCACTAATGAGTACTTTACACATGCCAGGAACTATACTATCACGTGGTATTTTAGATACATTTAACGAAACATTGAATATTCCTCCTCAGAAAGAAATTATTGCTAGTTTATTAGCCATCTTTAGTGTATGCACCCCACAGTTAATTCATTTATTTAAAATACTGAAATAAAATTTTCCTTTTCCTTCAGCTTTTTAGGGAATTCCAGCTTCTTACACAAATGGATGTTTATAAGAAAACAGTTGAAATTTTGGAGGTTTATTCAGAAAACATATTGACTTTGTACTCCTTGAGAAATAATCCAATTATTGTTATGCTGCGAGAAAATCTGAAACAGCACACAGAGGAAGACATTCTGAAATGTCAGTATAAACTGTCTATGTATTGTTTGTCTGTGATTTGTAGTACATAATTGTCCGGTCTTCTGTTGTTAGACTATCTTCTATTTATCTGTAGAAAACCCACTGTTTCAAACATCTGGAACCAGTTAAAAGTACATGTGGTAAAGAGGAATTACTAAAGAGAATATAAACCTTTTAATGAGGAGAGGGATTATTTATTTTAAATGAGATTTTATTTCTGGGTCTAATAGGAAAAGAAAAAATTAACAATGGGTAAAGGAAGAAATTCTATAAAATAGCTATTGCTAACGTGCAGGAAATGAAATATTTCAGATATAGATTTGTGCTTCTGTATCCTAGGGAATTGGATAATAACCTTAGCATACCATTGGCAAACTAGTAAACGTGGACAATTCTAGAGGCTCCACCTGGAAACCAAATGTGAGAACCTATTGTCTAAAAACGAAATAAATGATCTTGGAAATTACTTTTCTTGAGGTTAAAGTCTGTTCATAGTGAAATATGGAAGGAAGAGTTACTTACTAATAACTAGTTCCAGTATATTGCCTCTGCAGATCCACATGCTTGTACGCAATTGTCATTCTTGAGGACAGATTAGTAAGATTGGCACATTTCAGATTGGAAAAAGAGATGATTCCAGGGGATATGACAGAGGTCTATAAAATTATAGTGGGTGTGGAGAAAGTAAACAAATAAGTAGGTGTTAACCAACTCCTTCTCATAACACAAAAACTAGGTGTCACCCAATAGGCAGCAGGTGTAAAACGAAACGAAGTATTTATTCACATAAAGTAGAGTCAACCTGTGGAACTCTTTGCCAGAGCAGGTTGGGAAGGCCAAAACACTAACAGGGTTCAAAAAAGAATTAGATATATAGTCATGGAATATAGGTCCATCCATAACTATTAGCCAGGATGGGCAGGCCTGGTGTGTGGCCCTAGCCTCTGTTTGCCAGAAGCTGGGAATGAGTGACAGGGAATGGATCGCTTGACAGTTACCTGTTCTGTTCACTCCCAGGAGTCTGGGCTAGAAGAACCTTGGGTTTGACTCATTGTGGCTGTTCTTATGAGCCTTTTGAAAAGCCATAATCTTTGCAGCCATGTGAGAGTGTGCTTGTTCACCCAGAAGTGTTTGTATCTGTTGGTGTAAAAGAGAGCAAGGTCGTGATTGCACTCAGTTCCTTTCCACTGCTTCCCAAAACCTCCATGTAGAACACTGACGAGTATGAGGAGAATGGAAAGTGTGGTTCTGCAGAGGCAAACACTCCACTCATTCTTGGAAGTACCCTTCATTTCTTCCAAAACTGCAGCTCCCTTCTTACAGATGAAACAGCAACTCAAACGTGGAAGCAATGAAGGTCAAATTAAGGGTAATGTTCTGTGGTTGTGCAATACTCCTCAGTAGTAGCTTTGTAAAATCTTGCCTTTTAAAACTAAGCAATTGTGCTTGTATGACTGGTTGTTTCTTGTGATTTTCCAGTTTGAGTGCTCACTGTAGTAGGTCAAACCAAACCAATCACCCTGCAAAACCCCCAGGCGGAAGACATGTTTGAATGCACAGCCTAATTCATGAAAAGCCTTTTGATGGAGATAAGCTTATGGCAGGGATGGTAAACCTGTGGCCCGCAGCTTGCTTTGATCTGGCTTCCTCCCCTCCTCCCCCACAGCAGTGAGAGCCAGCACTGGTTCTCCAGCCATGCAGTCTCCCAGCCTCAACCCGTTCCTTCCCCCCACACCCATTCTGCGTGCTACCACCTGCTCAGACTTTGCAGCCTTGTGGAGCACCACAATGTCTACTAGCCCTGGGCAAGTAAATCCAGCCCTGGATGGGTAGACCTGACCCTTTCTCCTTCCTTGTGAGGCTGGAGCACGAGGGGAGTGCGGTGACTGATTGAGATACAGAAAAGAGAGACACAGTCACAGGCCACAGCTGTGAGAGGGGTTTTTTTGTGCTTCCGTAAGGCAATACAACACATAGGGGAATTCTCTTCAAAAGAAAACTGTCATCTCCAAAACTGGGAGAGTAATCAAGTGTTTGTAGACCAGGCCTAACAACTTAAGGGAGGAATTTTGAGTGGAGATGAAGAGCCACTTTCCCTTTTGTTTACAAAAAAAAATCCTTAAGTAGCATATATCTTAATGCCACACTTTCAGAAAATGCCAACAATTTGTGGTGAGAGAACTGAGCAGGAAAATATTATTTAGAATAGCTAAAATAGAGAATACAAAATATTTTTAAAATGCACTGAAAGGAACAACCCCGCCTTAGCAGTAAGATGGCCTAGATTATTTTAAGGAGGGCTCTTCCTTCATTGACTTCCAGAAAGCATTTGAACTTCAACTATAATCTTAATTTGATCAAAAAGCAGCAACCTGGCATTCTTACTGGATGACATTTAAGATTCTTCCCAAGGTCACTGTCTGGAACTTAAGTATCAGAAAACTGTAGAAACCGGCACATTTGTGACACTGGGAAAAGCAAAACAAACAAAAAGGGAAACTGGCCTTTTAAGTGCTGGGCAGCTCCTCAGACAAGCTTGTGGCACTTACTTGGGGGTGGGGCAAACGGCAGCTAGGAGCAAACATTTAGGCTCTGCCCGCAGCTCCTGGTACTGCCAGCAGGCCAGGCCCCCTGGCTTCCACCTCCACCTTACCAGGCTGCATCCTGTCCCCGTCGCTCCCCTAGCACACCATATCCCTTCCCCCCCCAAGATCACCAGAATTTTTAGGTTACCGGCATGATAACACAGGTTTTACTGTACTTTGGCTTTATGTTGGCTACTTCAGACGGTGAAGTTTACTGTTCAAGGTATGCTGGAATAGTAATCAATAAAAGTAAGTGACATGGTATCAACTACCAATCTTATAATTCACCATTCTTACTTCATACATATCCATCTGCACTTCAAGGATGCTGATAATTAAATATTCAAAATATTTTTATTTTTAATTTAGCACAACTCTTTGCTTTTGACAGATATGAAAATGACTGCCACATGTTTACTTCTGCCAGATGTCTTTGGAGATGATTCCAGTCTGTTTGCTGCTGTGAATGAGGAGGTACAGAAATACAGCCACAGAGGCTAGTTGCACTTGCAAACAAAATTCTGCTCCATTCTCAGCCACATGTATTAAATTTATAATGTCCTTGTTTTAGAAGTACATGGGCCGTTCATTGTTGTCAGATATCTAAGGAAAGGCTACTGACTCCTGAAACAAGTCACTGAGGGTACGGCTACACTTGCTCCCTAGTTTGAACTAGGGATACAAATATAGGCGACTGAAATTGCTAATGAAGCGGGAATTTAAATATCCCACACATCATTAGCATGATCTGTGAAGCGTTACTCCTCAAAAAATGAGGATTAATGTTAGTTCGAATCGAACCAAGGGGTTTGGTTCAAACGTATCCTGGCACGCACTTTCACTTTCAAAACAACTGTTGAGCAGAGTAACGCGCCGGTGAGATCATGCTAATGAAGCCCAGGATCTTTAAATCCCCGCTTCATTAGCAATTTCGGTCGCCTACATTTGCATCCCTAGTCTCAACTAGGGAGCAAGTGTAGACGTAGCTCCAAGGCTTTGTCTACACTGCAGGGTTTTTGCGCAAGAAGCTTTTTGCGGAAGAGATCTTCCACAAAAACTTCGTGTACAAAAGTGCATCCAGCCTCAAAAGCGATGTGCTTTTGTGCAAGAGAACGGCCACACTGTATGGATGCTCTTGCGCAAGAAAGCTCTGATTGCCATTAAAAGAATGGCCCTTTTTGTGCAAGAAACCCCCTGCACAACAGCCACACATGCCTTTTTGCACAAGAGCTGTAGTGCAAAAAGGAGTTATTCCTAGTGGGGAGAGGAGTAACTCTAGTGGCAAAAGCTCTCTGTCCTGTTGATATACTGTTTTGGGGGTGTTTTTTTGTACAAAAACGTGCTTGAGGTGTAGACACTCCGCCCGCAAATTGAGCTACGTCAATTGCATAGCTTATTTCGAAATAGAGCCCTCTGCCTCCGACTTCCCTTTCTCCTCATACAATGAAAGTTACAGGTGTCAGAGTAAGAAGTCCTCCAGCTTGACAGTATTTCGACTTTATTTCAAAATAACTGCCTGCCATGTAGATATACTCCAAAGGCTGTGTCTAGACTGGCATGATTTTGCGGAAATACTTTTAACAGAAAAGTTTTTCCGTTAAAAGTATTTCCGCAAAAGAGCGTCTAGACTGGCACGGATGCTTTTGCGCAAAAGCATCCGTGCCAGTCTAGACGCTCTTTTGCGGAAATACTTTTAACGGAAAAACTTTTCTGTTAAAAGTATTTCCGCAAAATCATGCCAGTCTAGACACAGCCTTTGGAGTATATCTACATGGCAGGCAGTTATTTTGAAATAAAGTCGAAATACTGTCAAGCTGGAGGACTTCTTACTCTGACACCTGTAACTTTCATTGTATGAGGAGAAAGGGAAGTCGGAGGCAGAGGGCTCTATTTCGAAATAAGCTATGCAATTGACGTAGCTCAATTTGCGTAGCGTATTTCTAGTTAAGCACTACTGCACCCGTAAGCCCAGATCCTTAAAATGTTTAGGCATTTAACTCCCACTGATTCCAATGGGAGTTAAGTTCTTGTTGGATCTGGCTCTCAGCCTCAGTGTTTGTCTGTTAACAGTGGCATTTATGCCATTCTAAGCTCTCAAATAACTGTTTTATCAACTAAGTTCACAGCATTGTTTCAAGCACTATTAATGCTCTTGACCTTTATCCAAGTTACACTACAGCTCACCCAAGTGACATTTGACTTTTTTTTTTTTCCAGGTTAAAGTGTTAACACCGGTCTTGGAAGTAAAAAATCCGTTCAGTGTTAATACATGTGAGTTTGCTTTGTATGTAGAAAAAGAGAAACTGGCCCAGTTGGATGATTGTACTATGGCTCTAGCTGCTCTGTTGGCTGCATTTCACGTGTTTGGTATCCAGTGTCCAAGAAGGATCCACAACACATTTAACTTTCTAGAATCACTGATTTTGGAGATGAAAAGTCCACAATCCCTCCCAAAGAAAGTAAAGAGAGAATCGGAAGAACTTGCATGTCTGAACATTCAGTGACATCAGAAACACTAGTCTCAGGGGGAATGTCTTTTGGAGCAGTTGACTCTTTGTGAGAAGAAATCCTTTGTTGTGAAGATAAAAGTTGGTGTAATTCTTTCCAGTGGAATTGTATTAATATTTATAACTCAACTATGGTTTTTTATTGTACTGGCTTTTCTAGTTTTTAAAACATGAGCATTTTCATTATTTTCAATGGAAATTCTAGAGCAACTTTAGTCTTACTTAATTTTATAAATTAGATGCACTTGTGGAAGAGTTTGTTTTTTCCAAAAGAGCTTTTTATTCCTCTTGGAACAAGTTTTGGCTAAGTCAAAGGTAAGAAACATACTTTGATTTAATTTAGTAAACATTTTGCTGCCTCTGCTGTTATCCCAGAATTGGGAAGTATAGATCAACTATTACAAAAATTACAGTTAAACCGTTCAGATGTTAATACATTTTAAGAACTTCCAACTCCCTTCATTAGCTGCTAAAACCAACCAAACATACATCAGTAGCAGTTTTAAGAACAAACCAAACTCCAATCACTTTTTTGGCTGTACATCCACGATGGGCCCAGATGGAAAGCGCTTCTACCATCTTTTGACACCCTTTACAGTTCAAGCTGGAAAATTACACAAACAATGCACTAGTGGTTACGTTTACTCACTTGGAGAAAAACGTTAGACCTGATGGAATTCATGTTGTTCCTTTAAAAAGAAGCAACAAAATTATGTTCTTTTCGAACCACTTTTTCATTCATGAGCCATTTGCAACACTTAAAGGTGGCAAAAATTCACATTCATTTTGGTCTGGGCAGATTCTGACCATGTCTTTTACCCACCACTCTTTGTGGAACAACATGGCTGTGTCTAGACTGCATCCCTTTTCCGTAAAAGGGATGCAAATTAGACATATCGCAATTGCAACTTCATGAGCATAAAAAGGGCTGCCGCTTTTTTCCGGCTCAGAGCTTTGCCGGAAAAAAGCACCAGTCTAGACGCGGATCTTTCGGAAAATAAAGCCTTTTCCAAAAGATCCCTTATTTTAAGAGGGATAAGGTATCTTTCAGAAAAGGCTTTATTTTCCGAAAGATCTGCGTCTAGACTGGTGCTTCTTTCCAGCAAAACTTGGAACCAGAAAAAAGCGGCAGCCATTTTTATGCTAATGAAGCAGGGGGGATTTAAATCCCCACTTCATTTGCAATTGCGATATGTCTAATTTGCATCCCTTTTACGGAAAAGGGATGCAGTCTAGACACAGCCCATGGCTATCATGAGACTCTAACCTGTGACAGTAAGACTGTGCCATCTCACCTGCAGAGAGAAACATTTTTATATTGACATAGAAATCTGGAAAACATACTGTAAAATTTTGAATTTTTTTTTAAAAAACAAAACAATTAGAAAAAGTTTGGGTTCTGATGCTCTGAGATTTAATTCACAGTTAATGCAGTAGCAACTCAGAATTAAGCTGGCATTTTGTTAACAAGAGGAGTTACTCAAATTGTTAAGTAAAAGTCTGCTTTAGCATACTTTTAAAACACAGCATTTAACTACTTTCTCTTTTTCTGAAATGCCTTTTCATTGAAATTTTAAAATGATCAAACACAGAAATGACAAAAATAAGATTCCCCAATCCTCCCAAAATATTTGTTAAAAGATAACCCCTAAAAAACTTTTTTTAAAAGCAAAAACATTAAAGGTTTGAGAGAAAATGCAAATCCAACAAGCTAAAAACATTTCAAATTTTCAAAACAAACTTCAAAAACAATTTATCCTATCCCAAAATGCCGGTTTCTACTTATTTATTAACACTTTAGTTGCCAAACACTGTTTTAAACAATGTTAAACAAGATTCAGAATTTAGTACAGAGTCTGCTTAATACCATTGCACAAACACCATTAAAAGCCTTTTAACCTTTTATTAAAGATAAAGAAAAGGAGAAAAAAACCCATTTGTTATGTATTGAATAAGGCTTTGATTTTAGCATTCACACTGTCATATAGAACAGTTCAGTTGTGAGTATTAAGTAAATGAACATAAGCTTCTCCAATTCAAATTTTATTTTGTATTGTTGATACAAGAAGACTGAAGTTCAAGAGTACAAATTTTGAACAAAATGTAAAAATATTATTTATGCAATGCTATGGAAGGAGACTAATAGAGCAGTGCAACTTACTTCAGACTGACACTGTTTTGCTTGGAATTGTGGCAGGTACCAGTAACTTAACTGGTCTGCAAGTGGCACAAGGAGCTCTTGTAAAACTTTAAGGACTTCCACCCCCCAAAAAGAGAAATTAGGAAAAATGACAGGAAGATTTTCCCAGACTTGTATGTGATAGAAATGTTCTGTTTGTTTTGAATGAAAAAGCTGAACATTTCCCCCCATCCAAGACTGGGAATAAGAGATTGCATGGGGATAACTGTGCTGACAAGTCAGCCCTCTTCCTGTGAAGAAAATTCTCACCAGGAATGTTCCAGGTCAGTTCTTAATGTATAGGTAGGTAGGCCTTCTCTACCTTAAAGTGCATCTGTTCTATATTGTGAATTATATACTGAGTGCAACACCTTACCTGCCAAATGCTTGTAACAATCCTTCAAGGAAGAATAGTCTCTTTCCAAAATGCCTGCTGTAGGACACCTTAGTCCTGCTAATGAACTGGTGAAATCCATAGTGAGGACCACACTCCTTTTGAATATCTCCTTTCTTCCTCACTATAATTCCCCTTACCTGCAAAGCTTTTTCTTGAATCATGGTGACTTTCAAGAAGCTTATGAGCATGAAACCTATATGGAGGTCCCAGTCTCAGTATTTCACTCTTTTCCATTATTGCAATAGATCAGCTTGTACAGATTTAGAAAATGGCTCTCCTTTTTGTTTATATTCTTACTTCAATATACACATGTTCCTTCATGTGCTGTAACATAGTGGACTCCCTAGGGGAGTGCCATGGTGCAGCATGACCAAAGAAGTTCTGTGGAAGTTAAGCTTTATTTTTCAGTTGCAGCCATCTCTATATTGGTCTTTTGGTAAGTTACACTAAAGATGCTGGTGGGGAAAAAAAAAAAGAAAACCTCACCCAACTTTTTTGTATTGTGCCAACGTAAAAACATTCAGTTATCAAAAAAAGCTAATTTCAACCCCAAATGTTTTCTTTTGTTACTAGCAAGTTGACAATTTAATAAATTGTAAAGTTATACAGTGTAGCAAAATGTTATTTATGTAGCATAAATCCTTGCATTTTAAACTATGGTACAAAATTAAAATTAACCTTAACAGTCTCAACTGGCTACTTGTAGCCTAATTTTTGGCTAAACAATTTTGTTTTGATAATATATAGCAGGCTATTGAAAAAGAAAATGGATATGTGAAATATAACTCATGAATTCTTAGATCATATTTAACATTTTCCTAGTTTTAATATAGGATAAATAATTAGTGAAGGTTTTCTTGATGCCTGGATAAAGTTAGAAATAATAACAGTTCAGGAAAGAATTAGTGCCATAAGTATGGCAAATAAGACTAGCTGATGCAGTTTTTATACAGTATCTTGTTAAAAGCTCACACACATTCCAGAAGGTGTACTGGCTCTCAGAGTATAAATAGTCCACCAGTGCTGGCTTATTTTTCTTCATTTCTTAGAGTTCTTACTTGACAATTCTAGCAAGTCTTTGTGCTTTGAATAAAACATGAGTTCCAGTGGAGAAAACTGGCTTCTAAACAATTTCCATTAAACTCAAAGTTCATTGTGAGAGTTTTTCTCTGCAGCTTTGAACATCAGAATGGAATTGAAGATTTTTAAGGCCGGTCCCAGTTTAATGCTCATTATCTTGACTATGTCTGCTTGGGTCATTAATAGAAATGCTTCTCCATCAATTTGCTTTAAAACAAAACACACCAAGAAAACTAAGTGTTAGGCTATGGTAGTTTAAATATATAAAGATAATATATATATAAACTGAAATCCCCAGTAAGCCAATTAAAATTTCAGAAATGGACGCGTGAATTCAAGATCCAGGGGATTTCTGGTTCAAAATCCCTATATGTAAATCTGAGTTTGTTTTGGTTTAGATCCAAAGCTATTTCCTGTTTCTATTTGAAAAATATTCTGTCCTCTGAATCTGGATTTCAGCCTAGCCACATATTTGCATCTACCTCCCAGCTATTCATTGCTTTCAGCCTCCAGAGAAAGGTTCCCTGATTTAACTCCCACCCCCCCACAAATAATCTAAGACCCCTTTTCTAGCAGCTCTTTTCTTCTCCATTTCAGCAGATCTGATTCCAGGGAGCAAAAGGTGAGAGATAAACAAGGATACATTTTTTTTAACAGAATTAAATAATGGATACTTTTCTCCAAATATTGTAACTTTACAATGGTGAATGTTATGGGAATATTAACAGTAGAAGACAGTGCAAATATGAATACTAAAAGCTGAATTTTCAGCTCATCTATAACAGACCTCTAGTTTTTGTGCCAATCTTGGGGCAAACAGCTGAGGGCACGTCTACACAGCAGGGTACAACTCAAAATAGGCTACGCAACTTCAGCTACTCTGATCGCGTAGCTTATGTTGAAAAAGCTTATTTTGACTTTTGCTGCTATCTACACAGCAGTTACTTCAAAATAGAGCACTCTTCCCCTGACTTCCCTTACTCATACAATGAGGTTTAGAGAAGTCAGAGTAAGAAGCCTGTTATTTCAAAATAACGGGTTTGCTGTGTAGATGGGAATAACTGACGTTACAGACATAGCCCGAGTGACTTTAGATCACAAAACCATCAAGACAGTGTGGCACTATCTGACATATTTATCTGAGCTACAGTGTCAGCTGCACCTCTGCAGGACTAGAGAGCCTTTCTAGGCTCTCAGCCCTGGTCTACACTAGGGAGTTATTTCAAAATAATCCTCCTTATTTTGAAACAGTAAGTGAAGCATCCACATTACCAAAACTGATATTTCAAAAGAAGGGGCTAGTTATTCTGCAATCTGTACTCCTGCTTTCCCCAGGGAATAGCTTATTTTGAAATAATTTCCTAATGCAGGCATGTCCTTGGAGAGCACCCCCTAAGATTTCAGGCCTGAAGCTGTTACTTATCCTGAAGCAGAATTTCACAATTCTCCCATGTCTAGGCTGAGCTCTGGGCATCAACTGTGCCCGACCATCAGGTGCACCTATGGTTCTTCCCTGCAGAAATCTGTGATAAGTGGTGAATAGAGTGAACAATCAGATGTCTTAAACGGAAGTATTTTTAACAGTAGGAACAAAGGCTTAGATCAACAAATGGACTTGGGCATAGAAACGCTGATCATCACAACACCTAACTTCTAGGAGCCTAGAAAAATCGAAGGAACAACTCTGAGATTCACAAAGCTTGAATTAAGTGCCTTTGCATTCGATCCACGAAGCCAGTGTGGTAGGCATCAAGGGATGCAGCTATGAGGGGTATGCCCTACCCCAGTGTTTCTTAAACTATCTTCCATGGAACACCGGTGTTCCGTGAACAACTTGCAGATGGGCCGTGACTTCTTCTTTGTTTTTGTCTGACAATTTTATTTAAAAGAAAATTTAAGAAACACTTCCCTAACCTCTTCCCTTCAGACATAGAGGCCTATGCAGCCTAGTCTTGGGGTCCAGCAATTGGAGGGCGGTTCAATGCAGCAGGTGTGTTCAGAGGCCTCCTAACTCCACACACAACATACCAAGGGAGGGGGAGCTTAGGCAGGGGCTAGGCATCTGGAAGAGTAGCCCTAAAGAGGCAGCAGTGTGCATGCCCAGGGGCAGACACATAGATGACGAGGGAAATTTTACTGAGTGAATTTAGGTATCTATAGAATTTAGTGGCAGCTGAGCAAGAGTTTTGTGGACTGCAGTGGAGCCTCAAAACAGGAAGCAGTCACCTAAGTACCTTTGTGGAACCAGGCTAAAGCATTTAGAGAAAAAGAATTTTAAATCAACAAAGGGTTGGATTCAGAAAGGAGACTTGAGGATCTAAGTTTAGACTTAGGTTCATAAAACCCCTGCTCCATTGCCATCGAATCCTTCAGTCACCTAAACTCCCTAAGAGCTTAGGTTTCCACTGGTAAAGTCCCCAAGGTATCTAAACTAGCAGTGGCACACAGTCTCTTCAAACTTGGTACTACCATGCAGCCTGGAATAGTGCCTACACATCACTGGGATTCACAGATGTAGGCAGTACTCCCCCACCTCAATGGCAAGGCCTGATACATGCCCACCTCAAAGCACGGCTACCAGATCAGATCCTACACAAAGCACAGCTTGTGATGATGGTGCAATCGCCTCTTACTCAATGAACCAGTGACTTAAAAAGCATATTCCCAAATCTTCAAGTCTGCTCTCAGGCAAAATTTTCATTGATCATCCTGGAAGTCTGGCCTGAAGAACAGTTGGAACAATTTACCCAGGACTGTGGTAGATTCTCTATCACTAGTCATTTTTAAATCAAGATCGGATGTTTTTCTATTTTGGGGCAGTTCTGTGGCCTTTACTATGCAAGAGATCAGACTAGATGATAACAATAATCCCTTTTGGCCTTGGAATCTGTGACAGAACATAACAAATTAAGTGTCTAATTACACCATAGATAAAAGCCATACTCTGTCAATGCAGAACTCAAGCCCATTTCAGATTGCAGGAAAATACAGAAACGTAACCCATTTCAAACCTTGTATTTATCATGCTCACCTCATCTTTGAAGACCTTGCCATGTTCTTCACATCCTGGTAAACTCCGTATGAATTCAGACACCTGCCAGCAAATCATACCAACAACTTTTTTAATGATTTGAGCTTTCTCTCAACACACTTGCCCCAAATGCAGATAAATAGCAGACACATTGCTCATCGGCCAGAGAAAAGATCTTTACACACTTCAGTACTGCTGCTTTATTTACTTGTCATGAAGTGAATTTAGGGCTCCGATAGCTGTGCTGTTGAAGCATTGCACGAAGGTGCACTTCCCACTGAATGAGCTAGTACCAAGAGAAGCAGAATGCTGTGGCTGTTACTGAATGTATGAGGGAAGTCCTTCTGAAGTAAACCTACCTCATCTGTACTCCATTTGGAAACTTTACTGGCAGGAATTCCAGCCACGCTTGGAAGGAGCTTGCTCTGCTGTTCCCAGCGCAAGGGTAGGCATGGGATTTGGAACTTGGAAGACAAGAAAACAGGCTGAAGAAGAGGCTTCTGGCAGTTGGGTTCTTCTATGTCTATAAAAGATACAAAGAAGAATGAAACCCCTCAATGAATAACAAGATCAGTCTTGATAAAATACCCTCTACTGACACACGTGCCTCCACACAAAAAATGGTTCTGCTTTACTGCACTGCTGTAGTGGTTACTGTTCTACAATCCCCCTAGTGTGGACACCTATCAGCACAAGTATTGCTCTGTGCAGATATATCTATTCCTGAATAGGAAGGGGAACAAACTATACTGCTATACAACACCTTTGTACCGATATAGCTGCATCCACAATAGTGTTGCATCAATATAATCACTTAAACCTCTGTATGTCCCTAATTCAGGAACACCCGTGCCATGGAGGAAGAAGTGGCTGTGCACTGTTGCTCCCCTTCTGCCCTTTTTCCATCATGTTCCAAAACTAAGACTCATTCCAAAATTTCAATGTGGACAGTTATAAGCTACTGAAGACAGGCTTTTAATAGGAAGTTTTTAACTGTCAAACTTTTAACTGTTCCAAGCTGAACGTCTATCATCTGCTGAGCTGTTTCAGAAAGTTTCAGCAAAAACACTTCAGCTGTTCCTAAAACAGAGGAGAAGGCAATAAAGATAGTTTTGCTAATGCTATTCTTTTCCCTGACCATTCTTCACAGTGCTCCAGTGGTTCCAAGTTTTGGAGCTGGAATCTGAGATTTGGTAGGGGGGAGTGTTAAAGTTAGGTGTCTTTTGCTGTCTCCATGAAAATACACCCCTATTTTACGGAGTTATAAAGCTCTTCAAATCATCATTTGCACAAGCTCAGTAAAGTTTGTAGATTCTTGCTGCCAAAAATCTCTGATTGCTTCCTCTATACTGAGCAGTAGAGCTGATAGAAACTTTTCTGTCCGCTGTTCCTGACAGAAAATGTTTTTCTTCTTTTGTGTGTTGAAAACTATTATTGATTGTAAAATGCTGACCCTGTGCCTCATCAGAGTTGTAGTTCAGATGCTTTCTATTCTCTATGGGCTGGGCTGCCCCACAGGACTTCAATGTACCACAGGTATGGACTGCCAGGATGTGTTGTCTCTCCTAACCCAGAAACTGGGACATCCTTAATTGTGGCACAATCTAACATGTTGCTTAGCATTGCAACCTTACAGTTTTTCAGGTAACTTTGTGTGTTTGTGTATATATATGTAGGCACATGCATATTTGGAATAAGATAGCAATACATAACTCTTCACAGATCCTTAGAAAAACTAGATCCCATCCCTGCAAAGTTTATAGTTTAATGCAGGCAGAGAAAAACACACATGAATTACGTTTGTTTTGTTAGAGGTTGCATTTTACTGGGAGTGGCCCACAGATTTGCTGCTGTTTTAGTTCTTATTTTCAAACTCCCTTACCAATGTCTAAATTTCAGATGTACACACCATAAAGACTGAAGATGTCCTGATTGCCATAGCCTTCTCTCCTAATCCCCTGGCACAGGGGTTCCCAAACTTTTTGACACAGGGACCAGTAAATCCATTCACCAACTTTTGGAGGACCGGTAATGTTCATTTGTATATTCATTAATCAAATGATAAATATTCAAATAAGTTGTTTCTGGTCCTCCCAAAACCCCCAGTGCCAGCTTTAGCAAAGCTTTTGATATGGCCACCCACAATATTCTTGCCAGCAAGTTAAGGAATATGGATTGGATAAATGGACTGTAAGACAGACAGAAAGCTGGTTAGACCAGTGTTTCCCAAATATTTTACTTTAGTTGGATCCTTTTTTTTTCAGTACTGCTTTTTGCAGCCCAAAAATATAAACACATAAAAAACAAACTGAGAAAATACCAGACATATAACATAAAAAGATCTGTATATGGCTGGGTCAGTCCCACTCCCCGCAGGCCGATTCATTCCTCCCCGCTGCGCCTCTGGCCAGCCCCACTTCCCCCAACTCCCTCCCAGGCAGCCAGTTCTCCCCTGCTTCTCCTCCCAATCTCCCTTGGCCAGCCCCGCTGCCCACGGCCAGCCCTCCTTCCAGCGGCCACTTGCCTCCCCGTCCTCCCAATCTTCCCCAGCAAGCTCCCTGCCCCCAACCTTGCACCCCCCGGCAGTCCTGCTTCCACCGGCCTCCCAGTCTCCCCAGCCTGCCCCAATTCCTCCGTCCAGTGTTGCTTCCAGTGGCCAGCTCTCCCCTCCTCCTCACCCCAGAATCCCCTGGCACCTGCACTTTCCCTTAGCCCTGCACCGTCCTGGTGCCTCCCCCTTCCCTCACTATTCCTGCCCCCTTTGCCCTCTTTTTCCCTAATACCCACTCCTTCACCACTCTCTGCCCCATTCCCCTCCTGCCCCTCTGTGCCCTCACACATGACTTGCTCCATCCTGGCCTTCCTCATGCCCACCCCCTTCTTTCAAGCCTTCTCCCAGCACCTCCCCCTCCAGCCGCCAATGCCCTTCCCCTCTCCTCTCCTCTCCCAGCATCACCCTTTCTCCCCTCCCACTGACACCTCCCCCCCTGCCCTTTCCCTCATTGTCTGCACTTGGCTCCCTGGCATTTGTCTCTCTCTCCTGCACCCTGTCCCTTGGTGCCTTCCCCTCCCATCGCGCCGCCGCCCAAGCCCGTTCCCTACCTTCTGCCTTCCACATTGCGGGGCCAGAGGCCGCACTCAGGCCCGTGGCCCTGCCACGTGCCTCCAAAGACTTTTAAAATCTCCGGCCGTGACGTC